ACTTCACACAGCAAACCGGCCTCACGATGGAACACACTCCCTACTTCACACAGCAAACCGGCCTCACGATGGAACACACTCCCTACTTCACACAGCAAACCGGCCTCACGATGGAACACACTCCCTACTTCATACAGCAAACCGGCCTCACGATGGAACATACTTTCTACTTCATACAGCAAACCGGTCTCACGATGGAACATACTCTATACTTCCATACAGCAAACTGGCCTCACGACCTTCTGATAATAAAGATGAAGTGGTACATGTTTAAAAAAAACAAAAGAAAGTAAAGGAAATCCTCTATTCTCTTAAAATATTGCTTTGCCTAAAATCTTTCCACCCTTCTTTCAAATTCTAAAAACATTTTCCCTCAAGATCATTATCAATTCATCAACCTTTTTTCTTACGACATAACTTTTATAATGGTAAATATTCCTATAAAATCTTTCATAATAATAAATTATGACTACTTTCTAACGTATAAAAAGGAAGAAAAAAGCTTCTTTAAAGGCTAGGGCTTCTTTATACTGGCCACAAAACTAAAGACACTACTTGGAACACTGACATATTCAATAATAAATTTTTTTGTTATAGGGCTCCTGCGTTCACCAGAGAGACAGTGAGAAATCACCCAAGGGGGGGGTGGTGGATGGCCACACCTCAATCCATTCTCTTCTAATTTCCTCTCGGAATTTTGGGCAAGCATGCACACGTGCCTGGCTTGAGTTTTAAGGCAACAGATCCAGGACTCGAACCACTGTCAACTATGTGGAATCTAGCAACTTAACCATTGCACCATCAGTTGATTCCCTCAATAATCATTTGAGAAATATCTAAATAAATCAGAATCTTATTAAAGATCATATAGTTAAAGGGAGTAACAAGAGTAAAGTAAAAAACAGAACTAGGCTAGCTATTTCCAAAAGAAAAGAAAATTTAATTCTCATTATCGGCACACAGTTCAGGAAGTCCTCTGTATCAAAACAAGAACAGTATTAAGACTCTGTCTACTATTGTATTTGACAGGTTTTAGAAATCAAATGTTTTATCTAGTAGGTTATAAATCTCAAAGATAAGCAAAGGAAATTTGTGCTAAAATATTTTATTACCAAGAATGAAATACAGTCATCATAGTAATAAAAAGGATATCAGCTTTCGCAAAGTCTCTTATCCCACACTGAGGTAATCCTGGTGTGTTCTGCATGTAGAAATCCAAGTAAAACCAATGGGCAAGTTCAATCTGAAAACACACTCGGATTGCATTGTCTCTTTCCTCGCTGGGAATATGCAAAATAAACCGGCTGTCAAAAACAAAACACATACAGAAATTACATTCGCAAACTACAATGACTTATTTCCACCCACTGAATTGCTTCACCCCTAACCCACCAACTTAGAAAAGGAACCAAGAACAGTCCCGATCAAGGAAGCGGCCCGTAGTTAGATAAAACTTACTACTGGGATGATGGCTTTAGAAAAACAAATAAGGAATCACATGTATCTCAATGATGATAGAAATCTATGTAAAGAGTCTGTGTACCCTGTCTTCGTGAGCAGAGATAAACTTAAGAATTCACTAGCAGCAAATTAAAGGTGAGCAAAACACCTTCACTAGGCTCTCCTTCCCAATGTGGCAACATTTCCAAGAATGCATGCATGTAAATTCATGTATTATAAGACAAAGTAAGTACTCAACACCTCATCTTCACGAATATTACAAGGAAATAAACACTGTTGCTCATTAATTTTCAAAGTCTCGTCTGCAGAGCTTCCCTTCAAATGAACATTCAAAACTACTAAAAATCTTATTTTCATCGTACATACAGAAAGACATCTATTTATAATATAAGTGTATAGTATACACAGAACACATACGTGATTAAGGTAATGAGCGCCTGTTTTGTGAAACACACTGTTTAGAATCTATAAATCAAGGTGAATGGGATTTACAGCAGTCATTAAGCAGCTACCAATCACTTCTCTCCCACTGCTAAACTTTTTTGGTAATTCTTTCTCCAGCATTAGGGGCAGATGGGTGTACATGAGTCCACTGGGTTGTAGAGTCATTTCTAAAATTAAAAACATGTAGTACCACCTAGTGTGATCACTTATATTACTCACTAGCTATGATGTTAAAAGGATTCCTGCCCACCTAGGGCAACCCCATTACTCCTGAGGTTGCTCACATGCAGTAACGACTAATCCTGGAGCTGCTACACGCTGCCAGCCACGTACTGTACCGGCCCTGTCCTCTGTCCATCTCGGCCATCCCAACACTGGCACAGGCCCTCTTCTGTGTAGGTGCATCAGATGCTCCCTAACCCCACCTGCACCCCGACTCTGACCACACGCCAGCTGGCGGACTTTCACTCTTCCTGTCCAGAAACACGTCCAAATTCGTCCACTCAGCTAACAGGCAGTATCTCTACATTTTTTTTGAGAGGTTTTTGCTATAGGGCACATGCACTCTCAGGAAAGACAGAGAGAGACAGGGAGACAGAAAGCAAGAAATCACCCTCGGGGGGGAAAGGACTCGCTGCAATCCCTTCTCCTCCATGCTCCTCTCAGGATCTTGGGCACGCACCCACATGTGCCCACACACACGCCCAGTGTGAGTTTAAGCCACCGGGTCTGGGTCTGAAACCACAGTCAACTACACAGGAGTCCTGCACATAACCACTGTGCCATGTGCTGGCCCGTGATCTGCACACTTACTCCCGCAGGGTGACTAGCTGCCTGACACCCTGGGGTTTGTAATCTCCACTCTAAGGGCTCACACTGCTCCCTTCTCCCAGTAAGCTGGAGTAAGCTCACACTACTCTAACCCTCCCGTCACGCGGAGGTAAAGCCTGGACATAGTGCATGAAGCAGTTACTCGAAAACTCTGGAAGTAAACAGTAGAAGGAAGATCGGAGAAGACCGGAATCCCAAGTGAATTCACCGTCCTCAATCCTTGTCCTGAACCGGGGCTGGAAGTGGCATGGGCGAGGACAGAGCACGCCGGAGGCCCGCCAGCTCTGCCGGGAGGATCAAGACAGAAGCCCAACGGGGTCTTCCAAGGTCAGGAGACACTCAGGGAAACCCTTTCCTTTCTCACAGGTCCAGACCTCAAACAACTGCATGATGGCAGCAATGGGGACTCAAGAGTCTAAACTGAGGAACAGGAACCGTCCTCTTCAATCACAAGACGTGTGTGGTCCCAAGAAAGTAAAGCCAGTCTTCACTCCTCTTACCCCTCCATCTGTCTCCCAGTCGCTTGGCTCCAGGCATGTGCGGGGTTCCGTGACGTGTGGCCCAGGGGATTTCTGGCCAAAGGATTACAGTGGGGAGACCCAGAGAACTGAGAAATGCCAGGGACAAGCAGAGGGTGAGCAGCTCAGGAAACGGCCCAGAAAGCTATCCACGAACTCTGGCTGGTCAGGCCGGGGTATGGCAGTTAAGGCAGAAGGATCCCACGCGGCTGGCTGCACAGTTGAGTCCTGGCCCCGGTAGCGTGAAAATCACACCAGGTGGTGTGTGCATGCACGCCCAAAATCAGAAGAGAGGACAGAACACATACGTGATTAAGGTAATGAGCGCCTGTTTTGTGAAACACACTGTTTAGAATCTATAAATCAAGGTGAATGGGATTTACAGCAGTCATTAAGCAGCTACCAATCACTTCTCTCCCACTGCTAAACTTTTTTGGTAATTCTTTCTCCAGCATTAGGGGCAGATGGGTGTACATGAGTCCACTGGGTTGTAGAGTCATTTCTAAAATTAAAAACATGTAGTACCACCTAGTGTGATCACTTATATTACTCACTAGCTATGATGTTAAAAGGATTCCTGCCCACCTAGGGCAACCCCATTACTCCTGAGGTTGCTCACATGCAGTAACGACTAATCCTGGAGCTGCTACACGCTGCCAGCCACGTACTGTACCGGCCCTGTCCTCTGTCCATCTCGGCCATCCCAACACTGGCACAGGCCCTCTTCTGTGTAGGTGCATCAGATGCTCCCTAACCCCACCTGCACCCCGACTCTGACCACACGCCAGCTGGCGGACTTTCACTCTTCCTGTCCAGAAACACGTCCAAATTCGTCCACTCAGCTAACAGGCAGTATCTCTACATTTTTTTTGAGAGGTTTTTGCTATAGGGCACATGCACTCTCAGGAAAGACAGAGAGAGACAGGGAGACAGAAAGCAAGAAATCACCCTCGGGGGGGAAAGGACTCGCTGCAATCCCTTCTCCTCCATGCTCCTCTCAGGATCTTGGGCACGCACCCACATGTGCCCACACACACGCCCAGTGTGAGTTTAAGCCACCGGGTCTGGGTCTGAAACCACAGTCAACTACACAGGAGTCCTGCACATAACCACTGTGCCATGTGCTGGCCCGTGATCTGCACACTTACTCCCGCAGGGTGACTAGCTGCCTGACACCCTGGGGTTTGTAATCTCCACTCTAAGGGCTCACACTGCTCCCTTCTCCCAGTAAGCTGGAGTAAGCTCACACTACTCTAACCCTCCCGTCACGCGGAGGTAAAGCCTGGACATAGTGCATGAAGCAGTTACTCGAAAACTCTGGAAGTAAACAGTAGAAGGAAGATCGGAGAAGACCGGAATCCCAAGTGAATTCACCGTCCTCAATCCTTGTCCTGAACCGGGGCTGGAAGTGGCATGGGCGAGGACAGAGCACGCCGGAGGCCCGCCAGCTCTGCCGGGAGGATCAAGACAGAAGCCCAACGGGGTCTTCCAAGGTCAGGAGACACTCAGGGAAACCCTTTCCTTTCTCACAGGTCCAGACCTCAAACAACTGCATGATGGCAGCAATGGGGACTCAAGAGTCTAAACTGAGGAACAGGAACCGTCCTCTTCAATCACAAGACGTGTGTGGTCCCAAGAAAGTAAAGCCAGTCTTCACTCCTCTTACCCCTCCATCTGTCTCCCAGTCGCTTGGCTCCAGGCATGTGCGGGGTTCCGTGACGTGTGGCCCAGGGGATTTCTGGCCAAAGGATTACAGTGGGGAGACCCAGAGAACTGAGAAATGCCAGGGACAAGCAGAGGGTGAGCAGCTCAGGAAACGGCCCAGAAAGCTATCCACGAACTCTGGCTGGTCAGGCCGGGGTATGGCAGTTAAGGCAGAAGGATCCCACGCGGCTGGCTGCACAGTTGAGTCCTGGCCCCGGTAGCGTGAAAATCACACCAGGTGGTGTGTGCATGCACGCCCAAAATCAGAAGAGAGGGAGATGGAGAAGGCAGTGCAGCGTGATCGTCCTCCACGGGAGGTGCCTCTCACTTTCCTTCTCCCCCACTAAGTACACTGCTCTCCCGCCAAAACAAAACAAAACGCAATTCTGAGGCTCACCCAAACTTGTATACGCTCAGATTATAAACAGTGTATTAGGGACCAGCAGTTAGAGTAATGGCTATGTCGCTGGACTCCCATGTAGTCAACCGCAGCTCGCGTCCCAGACCCGGTGGCTTAAACTCACGCCGGGCGCATGTGCGTGTGTGCCCAGGATCCCGAGAGGAGAATGGAGGAGAAGGGATTGCAGCGTGGCCATGCCCCCTGGGGGGTGATTTCTCGCTTTCTGTCTCTCTGTCTTTCTGGCAAGTACACGCTCCTGATAGCAAAAACCTCAAAAAAAAAAAAAAAAACAAAAACAAAACAACAAAACAAAATAGTGTCTTACAGACATCGAGACTAGGCTGCAAGGTGAACCTGCCACACCACAGAGTGACCACTGGATGGTACACACGGGACGAACAACCCTAGGAAAACTACCCTCTTCCATCTGATCTTTGTTCATACTGCCAGAAGGCATTTGCACGGAGCAGAGGCAGAGGGGGAGAGCGCTCCTGGGGCATTTGCACGGAGCAGAGGCAGAGGGGGAGCTCCTCAGGTCTCGGTTGGGGCATACACGATGCCATGCCACAGCCCCTTCTCCATTTCTCCATCCTGCGGGCATCTGGGGCATACTCGCGCATGCACCCCGCGTGTTTTTTAAGCCACCAGGGATGGGATGCGAACAGCATCAGTTACATGGGATCTGGCTCCCTTAACCACCAGGCCACAGACTCAGCCCTATCTGACTTATTTAACTTACTTTCATGTCTTAAAATAATAATAATAAATAACAAACAAAACCTCTTCTACTATTTCTCACATACTGGGAGAGTGGAGGCATTTTCTGACTTCCACTGTGGAAGGTAAGGAATGAACTCCGGTCCCACTCCATTCCACACTCCCTCTCACCCTTCAGCCCTCCACGACACGGTGCCACAGTCCGGTTGTACCAACGCTCCTGACCCTA